GCCAGCTCTGCCGCACTCACGACGTTTGAGGAGGCAGACGCATTAACCCAGACAAAGTCACTGTAAGTATTTAACATTCCTCCACCAGGGCAGAATCGATTAAAATGTTGGCCGTGAGTTTTTTCGTTACTTCTTTTTTGCTCAAGACGTTCTCGGGTGAAACTGGAAAGGAAAGTTTTGGACCAACTGGAAGAAAGTTTGATTATTGGTATAGTTTCTGGATTGCAAGCGGAAATAAGTATACAGCTTAGAGTTACACTTGCTGCACCACAGTAGAGCATCGCTTTAATATCATCCGCTTGAAATTACACATGACAATGTATGCTTCAATATGTTTTGGGACCAAAACTTATGGATTTGTTTGTCCTGCACATTGCTCTGATGTTTGATTAGTTTGGGGTCTGGCGGCCAAATTATCATCCTTAAAGCTGCAGAACGTAACTTTTATAAAGAATATGTTTCTGACACGTTTGTTAAAATTGTCACAATGTTGTGACAGCGTGTTATGAGACAGATAATCTGTGAAAAGATCAATCTCCTCCACCCCCTCCATTACCTACTGTGCACAGCTCCTGACCAGAAACAACCAATCAGAGCCAGGAGGAGGGTCTTAGTGCTGTCACTCACGATGCTAAGTGTTAAAAGAGAATTGTTTATCCACTGTCACAAGCGGCTATGCTGACTAGCCTGAGCATTCGCACCAGGATCTGTTGGCAGAAAAAAGCTGCAGCAGTAGCAGGGAGCAAGGGGTTAATGACAGCGCTAAGACCCTCCTCCTGGCTCTGATTGGTTGTTTGTAGTTAGCGCTGGGTGAAGGCAGAGGTTATCTGTCTCATGTAATAATGTCACGACGTTGTGACGGTTTCAACAAATATGTAGAAGATTTTTTTAATTTACGTAAAAAACGTGAGGTTTTTTTTTTTTGTCTCTTTTCGTAACAACTACTGCCAAACTATTTCCTGAAGTGTACAGAGGAATTTTGCCCCTTTCTTGTTTGCTGAATTATTGTTAACCAGACACGCTGGAGGATTTTCTCACTTTAATAAGTGAGGAAAATCCACAGTAACACGTCATGCCACAATGGGATGATCAGCTTCGAATCTTGACTTTGATTAAGCCACTGAAAAACCTTAATTTTGGTTTCTTTGAATCAGTCAGAAAATTGATGTAGTACTTTCTTTCCATGTCACAGGAAGCACCACCTTGTGTGTTGGGCTTGTCACATAACAAACTAATTAGACGAGGCAAAGCATCTGTTTTTGCCTCCTTCACGTTTATAGGACATTAAGGGCAGAAGTGGAAATCTTAATCTGAATACTCTGTTTTCAGACAATCTTCCCTGAACAAATTGCTGTATTTCATTTTCATGTCGGACAGCTCGGCGCTGCCCACTTCATTGTTTGTTTCTGTCGCGCTGCGTTTGAGTGCACTTAGCTCCCCGATAACCTCTCTGGTGAAAGTGTCTGATCATCCACCATGGGTAAAGCATTACACAAGCCCTTTATGCCCACTGGCGCCTGCTCTGCTCTCACAAATGAGAGATGAGCACAGAGAAGAGGCAAATAACATCGGGCCACCTGGTACCAAAATGAAACACTTAAAGTTGCATCTGCCCTATTTGTCGGCTAAATTGACTGTGTTTTCTGAACAGGGCTTTTCAGATTGGCTGTTGCTTCCTGTGTGAAGCTGCTTTGGTCCCCGTTGTTTGAGAGGAGAGGAGTCTTTTTAAAGTGGCTGAGGCAGTTCAACAAAGAAAAACAGCAGACCAATTGGTAGCCAGCAAGAAAGCCCCCGAACCTCAAGAGCAGCAGCCTGGAGGGGACACTGGAGGGAAGCTGCCTGTTCATTGCAGGAAGGGTGCATGTTGGCCAGACAGCCCCTTAAGTGACTTCTCCCCATCTCAATGTTACTCATCGAAGTTGAAAGAATGCCATTCATTCACTGAGGGAGGATTAGAGACATCAGCTCCATCTGGAAAGAGTTCCCAATGATGCTAACATGTTCCTATAATTCTGTAAGGGTAGGGTTGTCCAAAATGCAACCTCGAACTGAACTGCAAGAATGATATATGTGACCCGTTCAGTACTTGTGCCTGATGCAGATGGAGACTTTTTAGAATCAGGGTAAACTTATAACTGGCATAATTTTCTTTCAGTGAAAAATGTTTAGCACACCAGAAAGTATTAGACTTTTTATTTTCATCTCCTGCAGACTAGCCGGCAGCAATTAGCTAGCGCCTGGTAGAGCTCTTCACAGAGAGTGAAGAGTTCATTACACGAGCTACGCTGGTGACAACGTTCTTAAAGGGTTAATGGAGAAGTGATGTCGCGATCACTTCCTGAGGGCGGAGTTTCAGAAAGAGCAAGTGTTTAAAGAGACAGAGGCTCAATTTCAAGGCATTAAATTACTAAGTAAAATTTCTTTTAAGTCATATTTGATGAATAGCATTTTTTTTTTCATACTGCTACTAACTACCACGGCGCGCTTAAAATTTTAACACATCAACAGGCTTCTTACAAAACCTCCAAATATTTATCTGCCAAAACAGAGTATGGAAGGGAAGGGCCTCCCCGGTTGGCCTCTTCAAACACAAACTCAGTGGCTGCAACTCAAAGCCGGGCACCGTGGCAGGATTCACGCGCCATTACGGATTCATTTTGAAGTTTGTGTTTACGCCGTTCGGTTTGTTAGTGTCCCGTCTCCGAGCAGGAGCACCCTGCGCCCCCCTGCTGGGATGACAGCGAAGCATCTGCCTTCAGAAGATGGAGCCTAACAGAGACGGAGTCTACTGTAAGACGGACAGACGGCTCAGGAAGCGACGTTATCTTCCTCTGTGAAATTCATTCGAAATGCCAGGCTTGACAAATTACACCTGACTCCGTCTTAATAACACTCCATAAATGCCTTTTCTCTTCAAGTATTGTGTTTGGATGCACTCTGGAGTGTGAAAACCGGCCTTGTTTGTGAAACGACCCAGAGCCGGAATCGTCCACGCCTGGCTGTGAAATGGACTCGGATGTGTGAGGGGATCGTGCCTGGGCGAGCGGATTGTGCTAACAAAGAGCTGCCTGGTTTAATGGCTTTCATTTGAATTTCTGTTCCTATCGTTAGAAAGCGCTGACATTTTCAGGGAAGACCGAGAGTCATTATCGCTGACTAACCTTTAAAAAGAAGAGCGATGTGTCTACTCCGAAGAGACAAAGCTCCAGAAAAAAAAAGGTCGATTTAAGAAATTATTTTCTTAAGTTCGAAGTAAAAGGCAGGTGCAAAAAAGGATGTCACGAAAGAGAAGAAGATGGTGGATATTTTAGCACTCAATCTACAGAGTGAAATGTTTACTTTATGGCTTCACTGAGCTGCTTACCATATCCCTCCCTCCCTGACAGTGTAAGTGCAATGAATTTCTGGATTCACAAGCACAAATGTCTTCATGAGAGGTAATGTTGGCTCTGAAGAAGCAAGAAAAACTAAGAAAAGTTCATTCAGACTAACATTTATCGACCACAGGAGGTTTGCACCAGCCCCTCCACAGTCCTGCAAGGATTGGCAGGTAGAGACGATGGATTAATAAACATTTCATCGACCAGATTACCTGCAATTAGGACTATAAATTTATATCATTTTCAATGTATTCAAACATGTAGTAACATGTCCACTGATACGGGTTGACTGGTACTGTGTGCAACTAATTTAATTTGAAACGAAACTCCGGAAGTTCAAATGAACTGTAATTTCAACGTGTTTGATTCTGAGGTGAGATACTTCTCTGATTCTGTTCCAGGAATTCCAGTTCATTTTTCTGACTCGCTGGTCAAGAACGCAACAACAATGGGTAGAAAGTCCGGCTCATTTGGGGAGGAGTGAATGCACAATCGATCTCAGATGCGGACCAAAAAAGCGAACTCTGGTTTGGCTGAAGTAAACTCTGGTGCAGTTTGGATGCGCTTGGGGACCGAAGCCCGCTCTAAAAGCAGGAAGCAGTGCAGGGCATTCTGGGAAAATACAACCAAAACAATCATGGTAGTCTAACTCGAGCAGGAGATAAATCTGACGCTGCTCCTTTTTTGTTGACTTTTTGTGCAGAAGGAAGTCGCGCTCGTGTCTTCTTCAGAGGTTTACCTGTAGTTTCCTTCAGTTGTTCTTGATGCGGCGCCACCACAGGCGAGGGGGTGAACAGGTTTGTCAATTAGTTTGGATCATTTGACACAGTACAGTGTGAAAGTGAACCGCACCAGCTGAAGAATTTAACAAATGTTGTAATTTTGGTCACCAGTTGAGTCAAGTCTGGTGTGAAAATTTGACTTGTTCATAGAACCAGTCTAGAAATACTGTTTCTACAACAAAAGTGGCATCAGACACTCAGAATTAGTATTCTACTCTATTTTTTCCTAAACCTATCCAGAAATGTGAATTTTGTATCATTTACACCCATCAAGACCACTTAGCAACTCTGTTCAAATGAGTGCTAGTATTTTATTTATCGTATTAAGAAAAATCTTTACCTTTGTGTTTCACCCTGAGCACTTGGAAGCGTGAATCTGATTGTCTCACATCCACCAAGGAGCCGGTGCGAGCAGGCGGAAACTCTTCGGCTTCACAATGAGAGGTAATTAGGACCGGTAATCACCAGCGCCCAGGAAAAGGAAGACGACAGGGAAAGAACGTGCTGACTCGTGTGAAGCAAGCCGTGCCAATGCCTGAAAATGTGCCCGGGTAAGCACTTGGACGATGGGTGTGTCTCAGTGTGCGCCGACCTCCTCCTGCGGAAATGGAGGTCGTCCATGTTGCCATCCTCAACGACAGCTTTGAATTGGCTGCACAACAAGCAAAGCCAAATGTAGCAAGACGTTTCCAAGTCAATCCAACTTGCTTGAGAGATGTTTTTGTCTTCTTTTTTTTTCTTTGTCTGCGAGGCGAGGCTCCTTGCACACATTCAGCTGTTTCACACAAAACCATTAAATGACAATAAACACCTTCTTTATTCAGGTAATGGGTCAGTGGACAAGCGTTGCAGCTTCATGGCGGCTCCTCTACGCTGAGTGGTCGCAGGATGAGGTGACATTTCATTCGGAGTGTAAATAATCCCGAGGATGTGCCAAATGCCACACTGAAGACTGTTCATCTGATCCTCCAGTGGAGCTCAGCCTCGTGTGTCTCTCAAAATCAGGATCATCTTCCACTCCATGATAATCCATGTTGATCATACAAACAGATCCACTGACCTTATAATAGGAGCTGTGAATATAGAGAGAATACATATGGAGAACAAATCAATGCATGGGTGTGCCACAACTTTCTCCAGCTGAATAGAAACAAAACTGAAGTCGTTATTTTTGGACCTAAAGAGGAACGATCTTGAGTCAAAGCTCAGCTTCAGTTATTACTGCTAAAAACTAGCAGAAATCTGGGTGTAGTGATGGACTTTCACCTGAACATTCAGAGAGACATAAAGACAGTTATAAAGTCAGCCTTCTGTCAGCCGAAGAACATTTCCAGGAATAAGGGGTTAATGTAAGCTCTAGAGAAATTCATCCACATGTTTCTTTAGTCACACTGATTATTAATGCAACAATGTCTAAAATATGAGACAGATGCAGCTGATACAGGATGCTGCTGCTCGCATTCTGACTAAAACCAGGAAGATGGAGCGTGCTATAAAGTCCAGACACTGGCTCCCTGAAGCTCAGAGAATAACTTTAAAATACTTTTGTTAGTTTATAACTAACTAATGCATTAAAGATTTGCTGCTGTTGTATTAACCTTCCAGATCACTCAGGTATTTTGGTTCTGGTTTCTTCTGCATCCCCATACCCAAATATGGAGAAGCAGGATTCAGCTTCTAAGCACCACAACCCAGAACAAACTTCCAGAAAACTGCAAAACAGCTGAAACACCGAGTTCCTTTGAATCAAGTCTAAAAATCCATTCTTTCAGGTTAGTAGTAGGTAAAACACTGATCAACATATTTGATGTGTATTTTGGAGACATTTGACAGAAGAAAATTAATATTCATCGCTTGTTTCAAAATTGATTGCTGTATTATATTTTCCTGATGTAAAACACTTTGTTGCTGGAATACAAACATACAAGTAATCTTAACTAGACACAGCTTCATGATGCCGGCTTACTGTATATGGCTGCTTCTTCTAGCTGCACATAATCGTACGTGTGAATTACTGCACTTGACATCTGCCTGAGGCGCACGCCAATCCACCGTCATTTCCACGCTGCATAATCTGCAGGCCATTTCCTTAACCGCTCAGCGGACATGAGGAAATTTACGAGGCGAGTATCTCAGCCGAGTTCAAAGACCCGGCGTCCCGATGACCCTATTCGTTAATCAGGAGGAAACAGTTTTCCCACAATAGAAAGCAACAGGCTTTCTATTGCAGGAGGAGGGAGTTGTTGTTAGAAATATGAGTTGACTTTGAGCCCAGCTGTGCGCCTGCACATAATATAATTGGCCTGTGGATGTATGCTGAGTGTAGCAGGCAGCGCTGCAGTGCGGGATATATTGCCTCATTACGAAGAGCATGAGCTTATGTGAAAAGCTGAGGTGGTGTTTCTTGTTCTCTGAATTTATGTTTTGGCTTCTTAGGTGTCTCGCAGAAGAACAAATGTTGATCATTACGGTGTAATAACCGCTTATGTGAACGCCAGCTACAAGCAGAGGCGAGAGTAATCTGACAAAACGCTCCGTTCAGGGGCTTTTGTTGTGAGTTTCAAAGGTGCCGTCAGCTAAAAAGCAGACAAGATATATATACTTTGTGAGATGGCGCTCCACCACGCTGGCAAAAACACAGATCATCACTAAATTATGCCAGGATTGTTGGATTAAGTTGCTCTTGGATGTTTTGATCCCACTTTCTATCCATGTCCTTCACCGGGCCTGAGAGAAAAGCAACTTTTCATCATAAACACTCAAAATGATAATCAACCCAGCATTTTGTCTTTTTTCTTGGTTCTCAACTTGTCATTGATATTAGTCTTGAAAAGAAGTGGGGGGGTTTTCGACACATGACTAAAACTAAAACTACTGCCAGTGCTGAGCGAGCTCTGCACCAGCAGCATCAATATCTGAAGTCCAGCTCTCAGCGGAAATGGCCCTGTTGCTTCCTGTACACTTTTATTCTGAAGCTTCTTCTTCTTTGCCACCCAACTTTTGAAGTTTGTGCTATTAAAAAAAAAATCCCCCCAGTTCTTAGCAGCAGTTTCCCAAGATGAGTGATGTAAAAGGAAGATGCTTTTCGTTTCATCATGACCTGCACATGAACAAAGATTTCAGGCACATGTGCGCCTCCTTTTGCAGCTATCAGTCTGGAGTCCAGACCGATAGAGTGATTTCACTTGGGCTTGTAGAACTCCAGTGAGATGAAGGCAGCTGATCATTTTGTTACCGGGCCAAGCTGATTAAAACTACAGCTTTTATTGTAAAGAAGCCTTTTCAAGATAATTAAACAACGCAGTGATTCAATACGCGTCTAATCACTTCACAGTAATTTAGCAACAATGCAAAGAATGAACAAATGTAGCGAGGTTTGCTAATCACAACATGTGCGCCTGAATTTATCAGTTCAGGAATTGTAGATCCTTTTTCTGTATTAATGCAAAAGTACTTTTGTCAGTAGTTAAACTCATTTAAAATAAAACGTCTGCAGGTCACGTGGTTTTTGCTGAACATGAAACATCTGTTTATAACTTTCTAGACCTTTGGTAAAGTTTAATGATTAATGTCAAACTGACAAAAGTGACTGGCAATGAGTCCACAGGTGAAAAGGCTTGGAGTGCTTTTAATTTGACAGTAACTTTGAAGGCACTGCATTTGAAAAGCTACGAAAAAAAAAGTCTGAACTTGGACGCCGTTGCTTGTGTGCAGTGCAGTATTTGCCATGCTCAACAGGGTTTTTGGCTGTCGGAGAGACAAAGCAGTCGGGAGTACAAGTGCGATCCCGTCAATTGGAGGAACGGCGCGGATGTTTAACCACAACAAAACCGTGACGTCTGTGGAGCTTTTTAAAAAATAGCAATTGCTTAGACTGTCCGGAGTGGGCGTCTCGTGATAAACCGAGACAGCTGATACCTATTATTTGTTACTGCTTTGTAAATAGATGAGCTGATGTTGGTACAACTTTAGGGAAAGGCTTTGGATGACGATTCAGCAAATTTCAAGGGCATTACCCTGACGTCTGAAAGCAGAAAAAGCACAATGGGTCCACAGTGTCTCTTGTAGTTTAAGTAATGTACTCATACATTTGCCACACCTTCTCCAAACTTTAAAGCTCAGATTTTGAACAGGTCACTTTATTTGTTTAGTTCGTACAGTGCAAATGTATGCTGAAAGACACATTTTAAAACGGTTTCAATTTTTAACCTTCATAATCTACTTATCCAGTGTTCATACAGTGAGTCGCATGTTGCATTTTCCTTCTGGATGGAAGGCCTTTTATAATCTCACTTATATGTTGATAAACATATCAAAGGGTTGTGTATGGGGGAACATTTTGTTCCCAAGAAGACTTCAGATGTCTGGACTGTTGGTTATTAAATTACGTTTGAACTCTAATTTGTATTATTGTTCTTTATTTTTGATACAGAACATGACATAGCTGCCATTTCAAAGCAATTATGAGCCAACACTGTTTTCAAAAAAAGTTGACAACAAAACATTTTCTATTTGTTTTTTTCCCCTCACTGTACAAGTTAAACACAAGATAAAAAATATTTTAAAATTCATTTACAAAATAGTAAATGAAAAAAACACACTTACATGGAGCAGAGAAGAACCAAAAAAAAACTCACACAGAGTTCCCACTGTTCAGACGACAAGCTGTGCTCACCAGTGCCCTGCAGGGGCCAGTCTGAGGAACAAACAGATCCGAGGACAACCTGGGACTGAAGAATCCGGAGGAAGGCAAATCTTAAAAACTTCTCCAACTCAATGGCACTGAGCACTGGGGCTCCTCAAGGCTGTGTGTTTGGTCCTCATGCTATTTACAGGGCTAGCATGCTAACCCATGCCTGAAAATCCACGGTGAAGACAAGAGCAAAGCCTGATCATCAAATTTTGCAGACCATTCCACAGTAGTGTGACTTCCCTTCTGTGCTGGTTTAATGAACGGTTAAGATGCTTGTGCATTAGAGACAGTGGAAGGCATTACGTTCCTTCAAATTACAGATGTCTGATGGCCCCTGACCTCGTGCAGAGAAAGCACTTTCTGAAGAATCTGAAGCAACAATCGCTCTGTTAGCAGCATCCTCACGTCATTTTGCAGAGATGAGGACAGTAAGGGGAGTTGAGGAGGCTGTTGGAGTGTCTCTACCTCTTTGTTCAGGATCTGTTATCAGACGCCTCACACCCTCTGCCAAACATCTGGTGGCCTCACCATCAGCACTGCTGCTCAGCTTTCTTGCCTATCATGGCTGTTAAGTGCTCAAGTGCTGTTAAGATTATCAATCTTATGCTGTTGCTCTTAAGTTATATCTTTGATTTAACCAAACACTTTCTATTTCTTAATTTCCAGAAATTCTGTGGTGGATTTCCTTGTATATTTTGGGACATTGTCATGTTGGAGGATGCGGCTCTGCTGCCGCTTTCTTTTTTAAAAAGGTGCTTGCTCCTCAAGTATTCACACATTAGTTGATGGTGGATTTTATTCTTGTGGGCTGGCCAGGACCAAGCCATGACATTCTTACCTCTCTGCTTTGCTTGACCACATCGTTCGATTCCCGTCTTATTTCTGAAAATAAGAAGAAAAAAATTACTCGTCTTTGTCATCTTTGGTAAACTTCAGTCTGGCCTTCACTGTTTTTCTGCAGAGCAAAAGTGTGGTATTACACCTGTAGAGTCTAATTTTTAAAGTTTTGGAGACTTCTTTTAGCATCTTCCTTCCTGCTTTCACAGAAACCTTGATTAGACGACCACACTGTGTGCAGATGTTATTGGGGAACAAGAGGCAAACCCAACAGAAACGAGAAACGTTTGTCAACGCTTGAACTCCTCTGCTATGAATGAACTGATTGTTTCTTGACTGACCATCAACAAGTCAACATCATGGAAACTCACAAGTCAAACTCGACATCCTCTAAAGTGACTTAATTCTGTTAGTTTCTTGCGTGGAAACTAACAGAAATAAATCATTGTTGGCTCCTTTCTTTCACTTGATGAATATACTTTGCTAAAAAGTTAGGCTTTTCCAAAAATGCTCGACCTAAGATCTCACTGCCTTTGCAAACTATAAATTTGTTACCGTTGAAAAGCTGACTTGAGCTCTGAAATAAATTTCATCAACAAAAAAAAAAGTTCCTCATGAACTCAGTTTTATGACACTTTTTCTTATTCCTCTGATCACATTCGGCCTGTTTTCATTCTGCTGACCCATATAAAATGTGCATGTCTGGACTCGGTAACACCCAACGAGCATTAATCACAAGGAGGGACCTCTCAGGCAGACCACAGAGTTAAAGATCTGTGTTTTTCTTCCTTTTATAGCTCACCTCATGTCTCTGGTAGTTTGTGTTTGTACAAGATTGGAAAGTGATGTGAACTATTGCGATAAAAGTATAGAGAAAACATTGTTTGTCCAGGAGGAGAGCCTGGAGGCACACCATGCCGTCGCTGAAGTATTATCATTATCAGTGAAAATGAAAATGTTATGTTTGACATATCGAATGGGCACATGTCCAGGGCGGCAAGCGGGCAAACAAAGGAGTCTCTGTCATGCCCGAGGAGCTGATATGTTCATGATTAATCTGCCGTGAATTACTCGGGCCAGCGGGGGGCGCTGTTCAAGAGAGTAACGAAGGGGAGACAGAGCTGTGCTCGCTCAACAAAGACACCATTCCCATTTTGATATTCCCTAAAGCCAAGTCACAAGCTGAGAGAGAATACAGCAGTTCTTGTCTGAGCTCTCTGACTTCTGATCCATTTAACTGCAAACAAGCTGTCAGCTTTGCTAACGACCTCAACAAGAGCAAAAACAATCAGGTGATCAAGAAATCCCCCTGTTCACACAAACTGGATCCCTGCTTCCTTCCCCTGGCCTGGACCAGCACAACGCGACGGGGAGATCATTTTAAAGCAACTTGATCTGCAACTTACGGCTGTTGATCGCATCTTCTGACTTCCAGCCATCATGTGAAAGATGTAAGAGTCGGGTTACAGATGTTAGCCTATGTGGTGGGGGAGATCCTCCTGAAGAGGAACGACAACAACAAAAAATACCCCTATTCTTTGGGGGAACATTTTCAGCTGGCCTAGATTTATCTGTGAAACTTGCTAAAGAGAAGACTTGGCTGTCACAAAAGTGAAACATAACGCGGCGTCACTGCTTCTGAACTCTCTGAATGCATGGAAATCTGGAGAGATGAACCCGGATCTTCATCCACAGCGTTTCAGTCGGGTGTCAGTCTCCAGAGTGCCGTGGAAAACTCTTCAAAACTGAGCTTAGCTTCACATTTCTGCCCTTTGAACGCCGAGACTGATAATTCAAAGCAGATTATTATTGTGGAACATGGTAGCCAATAAGAAGTTCATCACCAACAGATTGTGGAATGGAACAGAATAATCTTTTACAGCAAGATGAGACAAAAATGTACAAACGTGTGATTGAAATCACTTAAAAGTGCATAAATCTTCTGATTTGATCAAATTTTACAAAACGTTTCTACCGGCCTTTCCTGGAGTTTTAACTGTTTAGTCGCGTTCCTTGAATTACTCAGTATTGTTGAATTTGAGGTTAAACGTCCGTGTGTAAATATGATCCACTGGTTACTTTGTCCCACAAGCAGATGAGGAATTTTTACTCAAGTAAAAGAAAATCGTAGCCGTCAGAAACATGACTCAAATGCTGAGAAACTGATCAAAACATCAATTATATAACAATCACATCAACAGACGGAACAGAATATAAAGTTATGTAGAAATGTTGGCATTTCAAAGGCCAAGAAGGAAAATGATCCACGTAAATGACAAAAATAACAAAATCAGATAAAATGTTCTTTTTCCTTTTTACATTTCGTTCCACATTCAAACCCGTGACACTTTGTGTGTGTCTGGTGAATGTTTGGTTTAAACAAGCGAGTTAAAGTTGCTCACCCTGGGGAGAGTGCCCAAACATTTTACTCAAATAAGAGCAGTAATGCTTAATGGTAAAAAGTGCCTTTTACTCATAAAAATGCCCTAAAAGTTACTTAAATAAACTTAACTAGTTATTACCCTCTTCTATTTGGCCTATCTTACATTAACACAACCCTTACCACCAGGGTGAGGGTTGTGTTGCCAAACCTGGCAACCTGGGCCAGGTTGATCAAAACCATCAGGATGACTGTTACACTCAATCTCTCCTGCAGCCTCTCTTCCGTCCCACGCCGCGTTTTAGTTTCTGCCCGAGCTTGACAAAAGCGAGCCGGGATCCAAGCTTCCGCCAGACTCCGCGCCCGGTTTTCCGGGGAGCCGCAGATCCAGCCCTTTCAGCACGCCGCTCGCTCTTACGTCCCGTCCCCGAGCGGTGAGCTGGCCGCTGCACAGATTTCTCCCCCCTCTTCTCGGATTACTTATCTCTCCTCTAACGGAGCTCTCTCTCGTTTTTTCCCCCCACACGTCGCCACCGGTAGATATCGGAGCGTTCCGTCGCGATTTGTTTAGGTGCGCAGTTGTGCGCAAAAAAAAAAAAAAAAAAAAAAGCCATCGCGAGGCTGCGCCTCGGCGGCAATGGATTGATCTCAGTGTGGTGGGTTTTTTTTCTTTTCTTTTTTTTTCTTCTTCTTCTTCTTTACGACCTCTGCTTTTGACCAAGTTGAGAGAACAGTCTCTGACCTGCGGCTCTCTCCTTCCAGCTGCGCGGTTCTCCAGCGGAGCTCGAGAAGTCACCAGGATCTGGATGTTTTTGCACATTTCAGGACTTTGAACTTTTTCTCCCTCTGTCTCTCGCTCTCTTTTTTTGTGCGTTTTCTTTTTAAACCCTCCTTGTCGTGCTCGCGGGAGGTTTGCCTGGGATTCTAAGGATATATCTATCTCCTATTATTATTTTTTTTGTTTTTTTTTGGGAGGTTGGAAGCTTTTCGACATCTTTCTCCGAGGTTTCCCGAAAGCCCGCAGAGATTTATTATTCGTGAAAAGTGATGGCCGAGCGAGGAGCTCCGGCGCTCCTCTCTCTCCTCTGGCTCACCTTTCTCTTCGCGGAGACCACCGCGGCGAAGCATGTCGACAAAGGTAAAACACAACAGCACGTCTCCGAGCCGCTCCTCCTCCGTTCAGCTCACTTCAACCTGTAGGTGGGTTTGTGGGTGGGGGGCAGAGCTCGGACGCCGGTAAGGGGAGATGTCTGAGCAGAGAAGCCGTGTACCGTCAGGCCGGGGCGCTCGGGTCAGCGGCTCGTTAACTTTGAAAGTAGGGCTACTTTTTTTTTTCCATGAGCGCGCGCGCCGTTTGATCCCCAGACCAGCCGACGTGCCTCCACGCGCCCCCTCCTTTTGTCTCCCCCTGTCTGCCTCCTGCAAGGACCAGACTGGCGATGGAGCCGTCTCTGGATCTGGACGATCCAGAACACATCCACAAACATTTGCTTTGTGGACTGAATGAGTCGGGGGATGCATGTGTGTGTGTGTGTGGGTGTGTGTGGCCGAGTGGTCGCAGAAGGTGCTTTATATCGATGCACTGATCTGATCTTTGTTTTGTTTATTTTTTGGTCAGTTACTATTTTCGTTTTTCTTTGTGTTCGATTGAAATTTAGACGTGGATGCAAAAGATAGTGGAAAATGAGAGATCTCTGCTTTTGATGCACGTATGTATATATATATATTAAGCTCAAGTGGCGATACACTGATCCGACTTCTTATTTTCTATAATTTTGGTAATCACGATAAGGTTTTTGCTCGTCTTCTTTGTGGACTTTCAGGCATGGGCTAGTATGTTAGCAGTGAGAACAGCAGTTCACTAAACACACAGCCTTGAGGAACCCCAGTGCAGTCAAATTGGACACGTTTCGGTTGTACATTTGTCTTTACTCGTCTCCTTCACCCCCTTAAAAACTGTCACCATTTATTGTCTGTTTTCTCATTATAACTGCATACATTTTCCCTGTTTTTTATTTATTTATTTATTTAAAATCACATTGATAGAAGTTTGGGCTTGGGATAAATGAGGATAATACCACTAAGAAATTGCTGGTTTTTGAACAACAATCACAGGGAAATTAGCCGATTCCTATCTCTTCCAGATTGATTGGTGTGTCTGTGCTCAAAAGAATCATTAGTGATACATGTCAGATAATCATTTTGCCTCATCAGACCAGCAGAGATCTCATTACCCCAGCATCAATATATGCTTAGAAGATGGATAAACACCACAAAACTCTTTGGGTTTTACCAAATATTTTAAAGTGACGTCCTCTCATGTCGTCCTTACGAAGGCATTAGAAACAACGACCTGGAAGCTTCTCCTAGCGTCTAGATGAACGAGACGCTCGCTCAGATACCGTAGCAAATCTGGTAGTGGGCATTTCCTTCCCACTACCAATAGGTCCGCCGATCACCCGGTGAGAGTAAATTAAGGGAAAATTGTCAGATTTTGACCTCTGGTCATATCATTCTTCCAAGCTGGAAGGTTTGATCAAGATCAGCAGCATGTGTTCTGAAAATTTCGAACATCTCCGACTGTTGTGCAACGTGGCCCAGATTCTCTCTCTTAATTCCTGTGATATGCAAAATAGTTAATGTGTCGTAGTGAGAAGAACTCATCGTTTCTTTTTTTTCTCGTTTTTTTTGTAGTTAAAAGGATGAAAGCAGTGAAAGTGATGGGCCTCTGCTAGCTGTTGGACTGTCTTGCATGTGCAGGCTGATGAAAGACCCTCTCCTGAATGAAAAGCGCTCCCCGGTAGTGGAAGAGATGGCAAGAGAGAGAGAGATAGATTGGAGGAAAAAGAAACGGCTCCTCCTTGGCTTTAGCGCAGTTTGGTACAAAAGAAAGATGAGGGGGTAGGGTTGAAACAGGCTGACTGTCTGGAAAGTAATAAAACCTGGAGATTAAGGGGTGCGGGGAGTTCCTCCGGGAGCTTTGATTGATTCCAGAGAATTGGGCCGGGACCCACACGCAGAAAGTCTCACGTTACTAATTGTGGGGTCCCCCGCACTCTCTTCTTCTTCAGTCTATTTAAAACACTTTTTTTTTTTTTTGAAGTCCTGACTGAAGCCAGAGTTTATCTCCATCAAAGCGGGAAGACCTGTGGCTCAAAGTTGAAAAGTTGACTTACTATTTACAAAAAAAAAGAAAAAGGAAAAAAAAAAGCCTCTCTTCCTTCTTTCTTTGACATAAGCCACCGAAGCTGAACCAACCCGCTGCTCTCTTCCCTCCTCTGTGGCTCGTGAGGAGTTGTTTGGGTTTTTTAAAAAGCCTTAATAAGTTAGGCTTTTGTAAACAAGTCCCAGTCAGAGGAGAATAAAATCCATTTAGGCGCTATCTTATCTCCGCGGCCCTCCTGGGAGGGAGCTGTGTGCTGATTGTCTCCCCGTGGACAGTGCAAACAACTCGTGAAAATGTGCAAACATTCGGCAATCCTCCACTCTTACAGTGCTCTCTCTCTCTCTCTGGGGTCTTATCCTCACGGACCACCTCGGATGCAACTCTGCAGAGGCTTTCCAAACATCCACCCTTTTGTTTTCTTTGCTGCATTTAGGGTCTTCCCAGAGGATTTTAGCCTTTAAGAACATAATTTGCCACCTTTGTGATGTTGTTTGGCAAGCTCTGGTGGTCCCGCATTCCAGTTTCTGAGGAAGACGGGGAGAAGGGGGGAAGGGGGAAAGGCTGGGAATTTAATTTGTAACCGCAACCTAATCAAGCATTTCTCTAACCTCTAACTTCATTTTTTTTAAGCCCAAAAGGAAGGAATCTTTAGCACATATTGGTCTCAGTTGTTGAGTTCGGAGAGGGGAAGGGGTGGGGGTGGGTGGGGGCTGGCATTATGCAAACTGAGAAACAGTCTCTGCTGGATAGATTGTGCTGTTTACTGATCATTTATTTATGGCTTCCAATCGCTCATAATGACCCCTGTCCATGAGGGGATGGATAATTGTGGACTTGGCAACCCCTTTCGACTCCTCTGTCTCGCTAATGAAGCTGCCCAGTTTGGATTTGGTGCTCATATCCAACTGCTGGTGCAAGATGAGGAGCGAGGGGGGATGTGGTTCATCTGGTTGACGCTCTGCGTTTCCTTATAAGTGATGTTTAGGTGAGAACTACTGGCTTTTTTTTTTTTTTTTTGCTTTTTTTCCCCTTATACATCTAGATTAGTGAAGGCTTAAATGAAAGCAGTTACTGAAAGTGTGAAACGGGGATCAATATCTGCAGGGTAGAAGGCTTGACATCTGTTGGTGGGCTGTGCTGGTGGTCGTGTGTGTGTGTGTGTGTGTGTGTCAGGGAAGGGGGAGGCCAGCCATGTTCAGCTGACATGGATCTCTGGCGTCTGAATTTGCTTGTATGCTGCTGTAGCTGCTAAAACAGAATCAGCCTTTATGGTCATCGTACAGAGGCGAAAATTGACTTCTCCTACTGCCGGGCTTAGCGGGCTTTCTGGGGGAAACCCTTTGTACAATATACCTTTTAGGACAAGACAAACAAATGACTTTACACGTGGGTAGACGGGTGCCCGAGGCTGATGCCATGCTGATGCCCTTTTGTTAGCTGAGAATAAACAACATGGGGATGGATTGAAGGACAAAAAGAATTTCACAAAAGGCATAACATATTACACCTGCTTAGTAAGTGCCAATATTTTGTTTTAGTAAATATGCTGCTTGCAAAGCAGGGTTTCCCAGTATGTAATAAGCCTGGCAGGCCACCAGGCTTTACTTGCCCCCCCCCCCCCCCCCCCCCCCCCCCCCCCCCCCACCCCCCCCCCCCCCCCCCCCCCCCCCCCCCCCCCCCCCCCCCCCCCCCCCCCCCCCCCCCCCCCCCCCCCCCCCCCCCCCCCCCCCCCCCCCCACCTCCTACCCCCAGGCTTAGCAGGCTTTCTAGGGGAAACCCTTCGTACAGTATACCTTTTAGTTTCTCTACACTTAAAAGAAATAAAAAAGTGATTTTCCCCACATTAGTAACCAGCTGCCCTGCGACAGGGTGGCGACCTGTCCAGGTGAACCCCACCTCTCGCCCGGAAGATAGGTGATAGGTACCAGCACCTGACAAGGGTGAACAGACAATGAATGGATGGATAGTAACTATAAGCCCGACTCCATTGTCAAGTCTCCATTGTCCCATCCAGTTGGTGCTCTTGCAAGTACTGCCTTATGTAAATTCACAGGTTGATCAAAGAATGCAGTCTATTTACAAGTATCTCTTGAGTGCAATATCTCTGTCTTGTACCTGCAGCATGTTATTAAAAAGAATTTAAACCTGGCGAACATGACAAAAAATTTTGTGTTTCGTCTATATTTTTAAAACATTGATTCTCGTAACCGGTAATTCCTTGTTTAGGGAGTTGCTTCAATGCACGATTGAAGATATTCTTATAATTTCTGTTTATTAACTGTGCCGTGGTCTTAGCTTGACGCGAAGGAGGAGTGTGGCAAATGTCATGGTCAGACACCAGGGAACTGGGGGGAGGTGGGCAGACTGTTAGACTGTCAGTTCCCAGAACCACACAAAAGAATATCTCGTAAAAGCAGAATAAAAAATTTGTGGCATCCAAATCACCCCGTCTGATACGACAGGGTCTGAATAGACACGTTTTTTTTTTTTAAAGGCTAAAGAAAACAAAATCGGCATACGTCCAAATCGGTGCATTTTCATTTACCATCGTTTCTCAGCAAACAAATCTTTCACACGTCAGCCATTGGACTTGGAGCTTAATGCTTGTTGAAAACACACAGTGTCCCTCCTATTAGCCATAGCCAGGTTTAGAGTTGCTGTGATCACTCATTGAAGGGTTGGGCGACTCTGAGTGGAGAGAAGCCAGGCTTGTGTTGTGAGCTATCAAAGAGAGACAACGGAAATCTGTCGCTCCTCGACTGAGGCGTCCATCTGTCCCCATGTCCGCCTACCCGATTCCACCAGTACTTCCGCGGGCATCCCCTGACACTCCTAAACCAGCTGGTAGTTTTAATTTCTCCCATAAATCCTGAAGTTCTCAGCTGCTTGTGACTCTAAAATCAAGAGCCATCCACATTTTCTTTTAAGCTATCTGGTTTGCAACTCTAATCATTTTTACATTTGGTCTTCTTCACCTTCTGGTCTGCTAGATACATTTTAACCTGCTTTACTGAGTCCCATGTTATGCATCTTTCAAATGCAAAGGAATAATTCAAAGATGTAATCTACTGTACCCGTAGAGAGCTCGCTCTCTCAACACTAAACCTAACCTTTTAAATTGAATTGCTGCAAAGGGGAGTCTAACCGATGTCTGTCTGCATCCAGGCCGTTCTCTTCGGCTGCATTTTTCCTTCTAAGAGCTGAACTTCAACTCCTCTTTGGGGAATCTACCGCTGATCTTAAGAAGATATCAGAAGCACCCATTTTTTTGCTCTGCTGACAGGATGTCTGCCTGACCTTTTCATGTCAAACACCCCCCCCAAAAAAAAACTGTGAAGAGATGTCAGGAGACCAGAGAGCTGTCCGTGCAGAATAGCGTGTGCATTCCTCGGAGGCTTGGTTACCCGCGAAACATTAGAACAGCTGTATCCTTCGCAGGAGCCTGAGCGGGAAACATCCCTGTCCCTGATTTTGTAGATGTAAGGATGAAGCGGCTGTGGTGGGCTTGCACTGTCAGAGCTGTTCTCTTCTGCAGGCTTAATGAGCTCAGGAAGAGCATCTTTTATCTACCTCCAGGGTGACACACACGTCACTCCGATCCAGTGCCCAAATTCCAGTTTGTGATTTAAAATATAAACCAACCCGTGTCCTCTCTTTGGAGACAGGGTTCCCATGCAGTTTGGAAAAGTTTGGAATTTGATTTGAGGAATTTCTAAAGCTGGAACATTGGAAATATATTTCCTCCAAAGCTGGAATAGCCATCCATCCATTATTTATGTTTTATACATCCATTATGTATCTACAGATTTTATCCGTCTGTCCATCCATCATTGCTTTTTCCTTATCTGTCCTTGCAGCCATTACCTTTCATAGTAAGAATTTATTTTCCTCATTTTAAAACAAAATTAAAAAACGTTGGAGAACTTTGAAAATTTCTGTTTAGTTCTGTTGTGAAAACTGCACCGTAATCCTCTGCAGCGGCAACCTGCTCGCCGTCAGCCTGCAAAAGCCTCGCTGTGACGTCGCCGCAGTGCTTCAGATGGACAATGAGAGCTGTTTCTTTCAAAACGTCCCCGAAAAGGACCTGCAAACATACCTCTGCAATCTCTAAGACATCTGGATCAAATCTTCTCTGTTCTGACTAAGCCTCAGCGGCTCGCTTTTCTTCTCCCCCGTTTCTCTTTTAGCGATGAGTGTAAACAGTTTACATAGAAATAATGATTCTCTTGACGTATGAATACAGTCGCAGCTCTATGCTGGCATGTAAGTGGATGCTGCACGACGAGCGAGCCGTCATCTTCTGCCAAGATACGTCCTGTAATATTTATGTTCTGCTGCGCCGCAGTCACAGTTGCTCGTGTTCTTGCAGGCAGCCTGACGCTGCCCCGTCTTTTCAGCGCGTACGGGGTCAAAGTGCACGTCTTTCCCGGCCTCACTGTCGCTGTGGCACGCTGCAGAGCAAACAACCTGGTGTTTCCATTTGGCCCTTGCATTCAGGAAAAAAATCTTCCAAGATTATTGCTCATCCGATCTGAGCTTACGTACAATCATTTATACGTTGAATGGAAAACGTTTCACTTATGAGGAGGAGCTTCATCTTTTTGGCTTAAACTATGCTAAGATGTTGGTTATCTTTAAGAATCTTGCAAAGCTGCACCGATAAACCCCACAGTCCTTAGTTGTAAATTAAGAAAAATTACCTGGACGTTCAGCACCTGGCAGTTCTCAGACAAGGATTTATTCTCTGCTGTGTTTCTGGAGGGCGTCCGAGTTGTGATGAATTTTCCCCGAAAAGTCTTCAGTAGTGGAGAAATAAATGCCGCCTGGTTGAAGATGCTACCTGTCATTTGTCTGCTTTGATTATCTACGAGTATCAATGAAATCTAGACTGGTTGTAGTAAGTTGATTATGTAATCTGGTACACATGGTAGATTCATTACAAGGGT